GCGGTCGTCCGATTTTGTTAATCACTCGTATGGTTACAGACCGAATTGGACTCCACTCAGTCCTATTACCTGATATATTTAGCTTACTAAATTTAAGGGCTCAGAAAAGTTGCCTTTACGATCTGTACACAAAGTTAAAAGCCTTTTGGCCCTAAATAAAGGTAAAACTAATTTATACATCTGGCAAACAGCTGACAGTAAACATCATGATGAAAACGATAACAAGCCAAATTAACATAAGCTAAAGCTGTTTACAGGCAATGTTGTGTTCAAATGAAACAACGTGCCATATTTATCATAACGTTACCAAAACAAAAGCATCTGCTCCTAGTGGCTAAGAATGGTATTCTGTCTATTCCAAGTTGCCACTCGTCCTTAAAAATAGACTTTCCGCTTTGAAAAGGAGGAAAATAAGTCAAGGAAGTGTTGGTTCGTCTGTGAATTTCAATGACAGCATGGTTCAATGAGCTTGGTAGCTTGGCCTTAAAATGCGCTGTCTGGTGGAAATGTGCGCTGTGATTGGCTAATCGCACAATAAACGTCGATCAGTGGTCACATGACCCCAGCAGGCTTGCGAGGCTCGGTAATGGCGACGTGAAACCAGTGTGGCGATATGATTAGTTTTCCTTTTGGCTTGTCGTCGCGATATTTTCCCCAAATTCTAACTTTTACAGGGAGCAAACCCTCCCACAGAAGCCACACTGGCAGTTTTGATGAGTAATAGGAAATATCCGAGGCTAGCGGACGGGTTAGTAGGGGTTAAACTGACAACTTCAGAGTCATGCGAGGCCGCCATGTTTTTTGTTAATAAACTAACTGATAGCCGCTATAAAGTTGATCGCAGGGCCCAGCGCTTTCAAGGATTTCGGTCGTTATTCGTTTCACAAGTTATAATAACTCTTTTTTTCTTTTCTAGGTATCATGACCGGAGTCAGTATCATCCATATCAGGTTTGTACAGGAGTTGAATCTTGGAGCATGTGAAAAGCAAACTCGACTTCATTCGTGAACTTTGAGATTTGCTTCACAATAAAAACATTTCTGTTACCATGTTAAAGCGTTTTAGAAGTAATCGGTTATCGGACATCATTTTAAAGACGTTCTTCTTTCGGTGATTTTATGTATTCTTAGGCAAGTTCCAAATTCTCGTCGAAAAGTCATTCCAACTGCAATTCGGAGAGTGGTCGAGAGAGGGAGAGATCACCGGTCGGTTCTTCAATTAGTCGAGGAAGTTCACCGTACTCCCGCCATTCCAACTTTTCACCCCGTTCCCACCGATCGAAGTCGTACAACCGATCCCGAGAGAGCAGCAAAAGAGGTTTGTATTACTTAAAAAGTTGTGATCGATTGACTTGTAAGTTAATGAACATATGGACTTCAAAAAACAGCAACTTAGGAATTGTTAGACAAGGATGCGAAAACATTTAATTTCATAGAATAGCAGGTTAACAGGAAAGGAAAGGCTTGTCTTCTTTGATTAAAGGAGAAAACAATGTCAACAAATGCAACTTCATATGTTTGACTCTGCCAAGTAAGTAGACAACAAAGTGAAAGACCCAGGTGTTGCAAGAACCTGCTAAGTCTAATTTCCTAGTCTTTTTACATTAATTCAGCTCTAGATTCAACTTTTGTTTTGATACTAAATATGGCTTGTTATGCAGGATTAATGATGAATGCTACAAAGAGAGAAGACAATAGAGCCCGGTTTCTCTAATTACTTTATTGTATATCTACACTTAACCTCTCAAACAGCCTGGTCAGGTGGCCAAATAAATTAGATTTAAGTAGCATTTAAATATGTGTTGAAAGCAGTTAAAAACATTCATGAAAAGACGTGCCTGTCTGGTGAATACAGCAGTTTATTTGGATGAGGAAAATGACAAGTCAAAGGCTAAAAACAAGAACTGTGTCTGGAAAAATAAAACTTTTTCCTTGAGACATTGGCATAACACTAGACCTTGAATTCACAGAAAGCTGTCAAGCGGCTTGTGTCGGGCTTTCATTATGAAAAGAAAATTGAAATTGGAAAATAGAAATTAGCAAATGCCACTTTTCAGATCTGCAAAGTTGCTAATACATTTGGTTGAAAGTGGAAATTTATTTATGTACATGGTTGGGAAGCCCAATATTTTATCATACACTTTTGAATTCCTTTAACATTTAAGTAAAGCACGACCAAGAAAATTAAATTACCAAAGTAGACTGAATTGAATGCTAATGTGTTACAGATAAAAGTAATAAAAAAGGCCCTTTCAAGTCCTACTGTAGAATTTCAAATTGTGTGGGTAACACTTTTTTTGCTCCACACATAGTGGTAATGTTAAAAAAAACGAATTAAAACACCTGATTACTTCAATGAAAAGAAAGATTGCAGCTTGTTTGGTCCCTCGTCCACCATCTTGCATCATTCTATGCATTCATATGCTCGACTATATAGTACACGGGGTTGTAGCTAAGAAAATAGTCTCCCAGCTAGGATTTTCAATGAGCTAGTCGCCATTTTTCGCGAGGACCTGGAACAAAATTTTTGTTCCCAATCTTTTGCAACACCTTGAAAGCAGGATTACCAAGCTTCGTGTTTACCAGATAGCGGCCGCAGTACTCAGAAAGACAGCACGCTAAACAAGTCAGTGCTCAAAACAAGTTTTTATTTCAATTGTCACTCATTGTAGTGGCACTGATACTCTAGGTAGTCAGGAATTTATTCCAAACTTTTCATTTAGACGGGTTGATATGGTTCAGATATCAAATGATTGTACGTGTGTAACCTGAAATCCATTTGTTGTCCTTTGCTGAATGATTGCCCACCAAAATCCATCCAGCGGTCACCCCTTTCTCAGCCAGCAAATTTCTCCAGCAGCTGGCGCTTAGCGACAACCCTGCACACTCTGAGCTGTGCAATGTTCTTTGGGATGGACTCAAAATTGCAGAGTAGGATTAAAAAGAACATTTTGGTTTTGCATATAGTATTAGTTAACAGATTGCTAATTGTTCTAGTAGTTGAGAATCCAGTCAGAAAATCATTTCAAAGGAATTTTTATCAGAAAGGCTGGATATGTCAATAGGAAAAGATTTACAGTTTGGTTATTTCTTGAAGCTAGCAACAGCTTGGGACCAGAAAAGATTGTTCCCACAAAATCGTCCTGTTTTCTCTTTATATAAATTTTTACAGAATCCCTGTAGAATCTGAGATATCTATATTCTAAGTTGTTCAATTACCCTTTGAAGGTGTCATTGTTATATTATTATTACTATATTCTGAACAAAAATTGTATAAACAAGTTGATTTAACAATTGTAACAACATCTCTTCCAGTTTTCGATATGTAGGACTGTAAACCTATTGATAATTTGCACCTTTCTTTGATAATATTATTGTACTTGTTGTACCATAATTCTACCTTTTTGATTAATTATGCACTTTTGAAAAGGTGAGTAAAATTTGCAAGGGCTAGTTTTTTGTGTGGTGTTAAAGAATGAGAAATCCATTGAATTTCAAAGTGAATATGAATGGTAGAAACAGTGAAACTAGATTGAATGAAATACCTTGAAAGAAAGCAAGGAATGAAAAGGGATGCAACACCGTGATGCCCTTGAGTGAGGTGACAAAGGGATCACTGACCCAGAAAGCAGCATTCTTTGGAGAAGTACAACAGAGGCTACAATCACATCTTGCAACACTGCGTTTTCGTGAACCCTGATTAATTAGGCTACCATTATTACTGGCCATCTGTATGGCTGCATATTAGTTTTTTTAATTAAAGTAGGTCAAAATGTTCACTCCATCAAGAAGGATTTCCAGATGAATCCCTGCAGCACAGTTTTGAGTTTTTTACTTGACTCTGTTTGTTCCAATGTATCTTATGTGTATGCACCTTTTTAACTCCCTGCTGAAGGAACTCAAGAAATGCAAAGTGGAAAACATGGCCTTAGTTTCAATGTAAATTAGGCAATCTTTCAACTGGAAATGAACTTGACAGAATTGTTGTCAAGTACAGTTTTGCTCAACTTAAGTACCAGCTAACTTACCTCTGCACAGTACATGTGCAAAGAAATTCCTGGCCTATAGCCCAGGGCTAATGGATTTTCTAGTTGAGCTAGGTGATTCTGTCTATCACTTACTGGATGGACAAGGGAAGTTTCTTGAAACAATTTTTGAGTAACTGGAAGCTACAGACATACTGCAAGAGGTGAAATGTTTAGGGTTAGTGAGAATGACCTTTCAGGCCAGTAAATCATAGTTAAAGCTTGCTCAAAGAGCAAACCTAAGAATTAGTTTTTCTTTACACTCTGCTCAGCTGCTTGTTCTTTCAATCTGGGCCAGTTCATCACAACTGATTCTCATTAAGGTCATGTTTCTGGACCACGCGATGACACATTCTGCAATAGCGTGCTTTTCTTTTTGGTAATTAAAATGCCTTGATTAATTGGTGACTGTCCTAAAGGTTGTAGTTACCAAACAGTGACTAAAGAAGCTAACATGGATTCCTGTTAAGCACCAAGTTTCTCCCCAAACTGTCCCCTTTACCCAGTAGTTACTGATCATATGGTCTCCTGCTGTACCTATATCTGTACTGGTATCGAGAAGTGTTGGTTATCAAGATGTTGACTTAAACACGTTTGTCATAACTGGGAATTCTTGTTATACAGGTTCTAGCAAGTCTCCAACTGATGCACACAGTCATCATACCCTTCCTAACAGTAACTCACATGGCAATGAGCGCCACAGCAAACCCAATCATGTTAACAGTGACGAGGTAAGATGGTTGGTGATGCTTTTTTTAAGAAGATGAAACCAACCTGTAATCAGAAGACAAGTGGTTAAAATAAAGTAATGTTGTACATGCACAAACTATTTTTAAGATGATTGGTGAAGCTACAATGTGAATGTGACTTCAGTGCCTCTTTGACAGTATTATAGTTTCATGTTGGCTTCATAGTGATATTTCAAGTATGTTAAACAGGGCTCTCAATAGGGGCCGTAACCCATTACACCTGCTGTGGCTGGGTATGTCTGTCTCACAAATCCCAAAAGAGACTCGGATACATAAAAAAACACTGCCAAATATAGAAGTTTTTTCTGAAAGCCGTGGAGCCATATTAGAACATTGATATATTGAACGTGGCCTATTGAGTGTTGTAAAACCAAAACTGAACCAAATACTTCACAATTAGACTACTCAGCCAATCACAAACCATGGTAAAACCAAAACCAAAGTTTGCGTGACTACTCTTGACACTCATTTGAAAACTGCTCAAGTTTGCATTTGCAAAATACTACCAGTACAGATAATAGTGATGTAGCATTTTCATAATCTTTGACTAAGTACATGGTATATACTGTTCAATTTAAATGAAATGAAATTTTCACATCTGTGTTGTAGGCTTTTGTCTGGTCTCAGCATACCAGCTCTTCAGGAAAGATGTATTATTACAACTGTAAAACAGAGAAGTCACAGTGGGAGAAACCAAAGGAATGGATTGAACGGTAGTAGACTACATTATTTGAGGCAGTAGTTTATTAATTAATTTGATCATGGCATTAATGTAACCAGTAAGAATAAATGCTTATATCAAAGTTGTGGTACAGCTACCCAGTAGGGTAGACAATTGAACCACTGAGTTTGCTTGATCGGTTGTAAACTGCCCAGTGTACAAGGCCTATTTTTATATATATTAAAATCAGGGTTCTTATGGGTCCTGGAAAACCTGGAAAGTCCTTTTTTTGTGTGGCATTTTCCAGGACTGGAAAGTCCTGGAAAAGGGCTACTGGTCCTGGAAAGTTCTGGAAATCTGTTAAACTCAAGTAAAAAATATGAAATGTATGGCAGACAGTAAGGAGAATTAACATTAAGATCTTGGGAGTGACAGGGTTAATGTGAATTTTAGAGCCCTGGAAAAGTCCTGGAAATTTGTTTCTGAAAAAGGGTACAAACCCTGTAAAATTCTGACTTGGCTTACAAGGAAATAAAACAAACAAAATCACATCGAGATTGAGGGATGAATAATAAGTGTCTTTTGTTTTATTCCCTGAAGCATCAGAGCCAAGTTAAAATTTTAACTAGGATGTTGAAATTGGCCCATTAGACACCTTTATAGCAGCAACAATAGGGATTTTTCCCAAGGAGAGAAATTCCTTGTTCAGAAGTATATCAACATGACTGTCATAATGTCACTTGAAAGTATATTTATGGCAAGATTTCTTGGTTTTGTTTTTTGGTGTGGGGGGGAGGGGGTTGGGGGAGAGGAGTGGAGAACTTTCTTATGGATGTTGATAATTTGTCATTTGTTCTAGCTGTTTCTTTTTTATGGCACACTTTGGAATTCTGTAAAAGTTTCAATTCCAAACCCCAAAATGATAGTTCAATGTAAAGATGGTTTCAATTGTTCCCTTCAGCTGGTGATCTTAACATCTGTTTCTGAAATGTGAGCAACTTAAATTAACCCATTGACTCGTGTGGCTGTCTAATGCATGGAACCTACATTTTATTAGCTTAATTGGTTTAGCCCAAAAGAGAAACATTTAAGTATACTATTATAGGTGGTAAAAATGCCAAACATTCTGCCTTGCCAAAATAACTTGAATATCTTGTGCTCTAAGTTTGGATAGATATTCCAAAAAGGTAATATATTCACTTCAACTTTCAAAAACTGTGCATCGAAAGCATCAAGCTGTTAAAAAATAGATATATTATTATTATTATTATCATTCAGAAAATACCCAATAAGAAAGAAAATTGAAGGCTGTTTCCATAGCTCTATAGAAACATAGAAATAGCACAAGCTCTTGACATTCTATGGGATATGGGAATTTACATTTTGTTAGTCACAGGGAGAAATTCTTCCTGCCTATGTTTCATCTTCCCACAGTATTTCTTAATCTCCCAGATGTCCTCATAAGGAAATTCTTAGATATAGTATCTACATTTAAAGCAGTGTCCAAAGATGTTTATTGAGCTTTTGTAGTGTTTGTAGATGCCTTTGCAGCAATTGTATTCCTTGAGCAAAAGGTGTAAGAACATCAATCAATGTATTGTCAAAATTAAATGGTCAATTCAATGTTTTGTTTTCCTCATATAGAGAGAGAAGAGAGAAGGAGAGAAAGGACAAGGAAAAAAGAGACTTTGTGGGAAGCAAAGATGGACGAGACATTCGCGGAGACTCCTCTCTTCACCGAGAACACCTGGCTTCCTCTAAACCAAGCAAATGTGAGTTCTCTGTTGTAAAAGAGCATTCATCATGTCAACGATGAGTTGACATCTTGTTCATTTTTTGAGCAGAGATTTCATCAAACTTATGTACTAGTGAACTCTCAAATGAAATGTTAAAGAAAATGTGTAGAGGATAAAGCAAAGGGATGACTATTATTCTTGAAGGTTATTCAAAGTGTTTTTATGTGACAAATGAGTTCACCATGAAAAGGCAAAATCTAATTGTCTCCCTGAGCTTTCCAGATTTTTCTTTGCAAAACCCTGCATTAACAAAAACAATTTGTAGTTAATTAGCTAACATGTGCTCAACTTTGGCATATGTGTTCACAGAGAATAGACGCTTTATAATAAGTGAATACTGTAGCTTTTTTGGTCTATACTGAGAAATGTTGGTCTATGGACTTCACCTTCAGCTTGTTCCATAAACATGCCAAGATAAGAACTCTGCAGATATTCCTCAATATGGCCGGATCTCACGCTAGTTCAGGAACTTCAATATCATACGTTATAAAATAACTAAGCTACTGCGTGTGCTCTCATTGGTCAAAAGGTGTGTTCAGATGAGAGTATGTAAACACAGTTGTGGCATTTTAGATTTGCATTTTTTGGGGTTTTTTTGGGGTTTTTTTTGAGAATTATTTTATAAAGGCAAGAGAGCTCTTTTTCCATGTGTACATCGCCTTATCTAAACACTTAGAGGGCTGGGAGAATTCTTGAAAGTTATGCCAACCCTCAACTGCGTCTCATGTTTTCATAACTGTCTCGAATTCTCCCAACCCTACTCATGTTTAGATGAGGCCATGTAAACATGGATAAAGTGCTCTATTGCATAAATATTCTCAATAGCTTGTTGACAGTTTTCTTTTGGCTCTTGATAAGATGTGGCATAAAAGTTTCATTATAGTTCCCAACAATAGTTAGAATAATTTGAAATCTCTTAACAATTCTGCATAATAATTTCAGACATGTCCCCTTCAAAGAGTATTCACAGAGACTATCATAGCTCTGCTGATAAACGAGAAGGAAATCATGCAGACATCAGGAACTTCTCTGGAGAGCAGAAAAAAGATATGCAGAGACTTAGCGAATCTATGGACAGAGGACATCAGGTGGTCAAGACATGTTCAGTGCATACTGCAGCTCTTCCAACAGTTGTGTTTAGGTATGTGAAGGGTAAATTTTGCTCTTGGGCAAGGGGAAATGGTCTGTTGGGCAAGTGAAATTAGCCTCAGCAGTGTTGTGTGTCTGAGTAAAATTGTGAGCTTGACAAATGATACCCTGTGACAAATGATAATTTCCAGTCAAAAAACTGTTGTTTTCTTGTGAAATTTCTGCTGGTGCTAAGCTCTCTTTCAGCGACCAACTCTTATGAACCATCTTTGAAACCAGAAAGATAACAAAAAAAGGAAAAAGAAAAACTTTGTTCCTTACCAACAAATATGCCATGTTGATAATATATTTCTTGTGATGTTTACAACAGGCCTAATCCTGTGGTGGCAAATTTTGGAGGGGAGACTGCAGGTAAGTTTTCTCTCTTAACTTCATAAGTTATCTTTATTTCTCTGCTAGTTTATTTTCGTAAGTTCATTTATCTCTGTTCTATTTCAGTTTCACCAGCAGGAAGCTTGCAAGATGTGTCACCACCAACCACTCCATCATCACGTCCCAGCATCTACGACCAGTCTTCGCACACTCCATCACCAAATGTAATCACTTCAGTTTCACCGCAAGTTCCCCAGCACCATGGAGTTCCCTCTCCTCAGCTTCAGTTTCCTCAACAGTCACCACAGTTTCCCCCAAGACACGGATTGCCATTAGCTCAAAATGCATTTCCTCAGGTGCCAGTGAGTGGTGCTCCAAGAGCACCACAGCAGTACCAATTTGCACCACACCAGTATGTTGTACCACAGCAAACCATTCAACCAGTTCTGCCTCAAATGAATGATTATAGACAGTATGCTCTTGTAAATAGTACTGGCCCACCTCTGCCACAAGTATCACAGCAAGTCAGCACTGCACCTTTACCCCTTGCAGTCCAAGTTCAATCACCGCAGCCAGTTGTGTTTAACAAACAGGTCTCCCCTCAGCCTGTTCTTCACCCTCTTCAGCAAGCTACCCTTGTGCTGCAGCAACGAAAGATGTCAGAGGTTAGAAATTTGTCTTTGAAAAGCTTCTGATATGACAAAACATGGACTGTGTGATCAGTTACCTCGTAGAAAAGTAGCATTCTTCATTTATGCTGAGCCCTAATGCATATGTGTTGAATGAATATTTTCTGCTAATTTCTCAAAATTAGTAGCTGACTGGCATAGTTCAATCAATTTCAAAGAAAACTTGGGTATTGCGTACTGCAGTGATGTGATAAAGGCCCTAGCCTTCTTGTGCCATAATAACATTATTGAAGTCCTTACTTTTTCTCTTTTCTCTAAGGCACAAGCTGCAGCAGCTGCAGGCAACATTCAACAACCATATGCTATAGGTAAGTAGTAGTTGATTTGTAACACTATACTCGCTGTACCGTTTGTGGACCCTCCACAGTTTCCAGCGCTTTGTTAAGTTATGTTAACTAAAGGGGGATATATACCTAGTTTAACCTCTATTAGATCAAAGTCTTCCAATTAAAACAATTTAATTTTGTATTGAATGTGGACATCAATAGTATATCAGATTATAGTACGGTTTCTTTAACTAGTTCTGTAGTAATTGGTGTCAGCTGTTACAGTATATTTACAAAATTTTGGACCTGCAATAGTGCTACCTGATTGGTGGATTTTAGTTACTAGCTCTTGAACTTCTTAGTTAACTTAATTTCAAACTTAGTCGCGTGGTGAACAAGTTTATCTCTGGTAATCTGTCCTGTTTTCTCTCAACAGCAGCGGCCACCAATGCACTACCACCAACTGCAGGTCTCCCTCAGCAGGCTGTGTCGCCAGTCACAGTTGGTTTACACCGCAAGGATGATAGGCCACACCATAGCTCGCCAGGTTCCCCAGTAGTATTTTCACAACAGCCATCGCTGAATGAGCACACCCCACACCACTCCTCTCAACAGGTTCCACCCTTATCAGCAGCATCCTCTAATCTAGTGTCATCTAGTCCTCTTTCTCACTCTTCTAATGCATCAAGTCCAGTTCCTGTTGCACAACCTTCAGTTCCCACAGTCAACTTACAAGCAATAGCAAAATATGTGGATAAAAATCTTACATCTCATTTGTCTTCCTGGCCAACAGAGACTGTAGATAGACAGGTAAGATCTGAAATTTGCCCCAGGCCCTGTCCACACTATGCCGAAGGAATTTTTAAATGGAAGTTTCACTCTGAAAATGCATCAGATGTTCTCTGTCCACACTACGCCAGAGGAATTTAAAATGCAACAATCACTGACCAGTCATTTTGGATATGTGTTTCAAGAAAACTTGGTCAGGGAAATCTGATTATCGCAATGCCTTCATTTTCAAAAAGCTCAGTTTTCAGTTTTTTCAGTTTTTTTTTGTTTTTAATTCAGTTTTTTTTATTATTGCACACTATTTACAACAAGACAGTCTACAATGATATAGGAAAAATAAATACAGATAGAAATTAACTAGAAGAAACAATATTTAATTGTGTTCGGTGACCAACATAGCCAATGAGCTTTTGAGTTGGTCACTGTCATTCCGATAGAAGTTGGCGTTGGCAGCATGCTAAGTTAATTTAAATTAATATTTACATATTTACAGTTTTCAAAATGTTTTCCTTCCACATGAAAACAAAAAGCCAGCATTTCAAATGCGTCCGGTTTGGAGAGCGATTTTGCAAAGCTTTGTTTTCTTGACGGAATAATGTGGACAGAGTGCCTAACAGGAGAAGTAACCCTCCCTTTTCAAATTCCTCCAGTGTAGTATGGATGGAGCCCCAGGTTGATTTTTCACTGTTTTCATCTGAAATTCAATTTGAAATATCCTCTCTTTGTCTTAAGAGGAAATTATTTTTATTTATTTATTTATTTATTTTTAGTGCAGAGTGCACTATTGGGATGGTTTAGGGGGCTGCTGTTTGCTGAGACACTAACTCACTAAGGCACTAAA